TCGTACAGGCTTGGTTGAAATCAGAAGATCTTGTGCAAATTCGATGAAATCGTAAAACTTGTGACTTAATTATACCAGAAAAGGTATGTTTTGGGTGAAAGGAGCTCTCGTGCAAGAGTTGATGAGTATCAGTTTCTTTGAAATACACTTTAATATCCAGTTTATTTGTTTCTGCTATGGAATCTCCCTTAAAGACAGTGGTATCGAGAAAGTCTATGTTGTTAAGTTTGAAATCTAATTTAGAACATAACACTAACTGCTGATCCTTGGTCACCGGACTTTCACACGCCGACCGAGACTAGAACCCACAACCACCATTTGTTCGATGAAACCATGCAGATGGCGTCATGTACAGATTTTATAGCACATCTTTTACCTGAGTACCCAGGTGCGCTTTACAATAAAGTAGAAGCGAGTTTCAATAATTATTTAGTTTAATAATTCGTGTTAAAGAGATTTTATTCTTTAGTCATGTGTACTTCCAAGTTTCTGTGGTCTAATTAGTTGGAAAAGTCCCAAACTTGAGCATAAATGCGTTTTTTAGCAAATTTAGCTATTTGTCAATTTCGATCCATTTGGTTCCAATTTCCGAACGTTATTCCGAGCCTATGGCAGATATTGAGTCAAATGTCCAGATAGCCAATGTGGATATTCCCTGCAAATTTGTTTGAACACATATTGGAGAGAAACCTTCTACATGTGATGCATAATTGCATTTTTTCGGTTTTTCTTTAGGTTTCATTTGTTTTTCCAAGTCCCTGGTGTCTAATTAGTAGGAAAAGAGCCAAATCGGATTACTTCCGAGTGGTGCTCCCTAAATTCTAGAATGATGCCCAATATATCAGAGTGATGCAACCTAAATGCTACAGTGATGTCCCCTAATATATGAGTTTTGCCCCAATATATGAGTGATGCCCCATATACATCAGAATGATGCCCCCTAAATTCTAAAGTGTTACCCCTTCACATCAGAGTGATGTCCCCTTTAATTCTAGAGTGATAGCCCTATGCATCAGAGTGTTGATCTCTTTACTTCTGAGTATTGCCCTATATACTTCAATGTGATGCCCTCTAAATTCTAGAGTTATAGTCCTATGTATCACTGATGTCCCTGACTATCCAACTGATGCCCTTATATGCCAGAGTGATGCCCAATACATCAGAGTGATGTTCCCTATTAATCAGAGTGTTGATCTCTATACACCAGAGTGATGTCCCATATACATTAATGTGATGCCCATATACGTCAGGGTGATGTCCCCTATACATTAAAGTGATGCCCTTGATCGAAAGAGTGATGCCCCCTAAATATAAAAGTGATGCCTATTTGATATTAGAATATACG